GTCAACATTCGGGTGTGTCTGAAATTTTTCCAATAAAGAGAAAAAACAATTATTCTTATGCTTTAAGTTTTATAAAATATATTTTACACAAAAACAAAAAAATAATACCTTAAGCTGCAGATTGCCATCATCAACCGCACGAACAGAAATCTTGATTCGTGTCATGTTTGGATCAGAAATAGTAAGTTCCAAATCCCCTTTTACCTCTAAATTCTCGAGGCCACCATCTCTGTTAGCCTGAAGAGATATTTTTTCAGTGATTGATAAGTGAACACTACAAAAATCACATGAATAACCTTCTTAATTAATGATAACCAATATCAAAGATTTATTATATCATAGAAAAGGTAACTGAGGATTTCACACCTTTCAACGGGGACCTTTGGAATAGATGTACCTTTAACACTAGCCTTTTCGGATACATCATCAAATCCAACTTCATTCTTAACAGCCTCAAACAAATCTGCACCTTTCTGTTTTCGGCCTAATTGCATACCCTTAGCTTTAGAAGGTGTTGGAGTCGGAGAACTAGATAAGAAAGATAAATTAGAAAAAATAGGCTTTTAAAGCTAAGGTCAAAAAATATTTTTATATAGATATCATACCTACTATACGTAGAACGTATGCCTTCTTCAAAGGATGTTTGCACTTGTGGTTCGGCATAAGAAGATGGTCTATTAATAGACTGACCAAAACTGCTTCCGAATGAAGTGCCACTTCCTCTTTTGAGCATTTCTTTTTTTTGCATTTCCAATTGTTTAGCCCTTCTTTTTAATTCTTCTTTAGCTTCTTGCTCTTTATTCTGGAATTAGAAAATCATGTTGTCATTGTTTTTTTTTATATATAAATATATATAATATTTACCCTTGCTATTATTTCTTGGATCTTTTCTTCATGACTTTCCATCTCCGTAATGCTTTTGACCTGAGCGAGATTGACATTTTCCCGATACCCTAAGGATACGATTTCATCGAAAGCACTCAGCAATTCGAAGCTATTTCTTAAAATTTCCCTCTCGTCAGTTGAATGACATACATCCGAAACCACGCGAGCGAATAGATGTAAAGTATCAATATCTTGTAAGATATTAGACTGTCTATTTGTAATAAGAACCATATAAAGCTCATCAAGTGGCTGATAAACATATCGAACATGTTCAGTCTCAATAGTAGTATGCTGCTGTCCAGCGCTTGTTAACTTTGGGAAAGATGCGAGCAGACCTTCGATTCTGGCACGTGGCATTTCTCTAAACTGCCGAGAAATCACGCCTGCAATTCATAATCGTAAAAAATGTTAACAATTATAGAAAGTTGATCCTGTTAGGATAACGAAAATACCTTTCCCGCCCTTTGTGCATATTGACGCCGCGAGGACAACCTATAGTTAACATACAAGTAAGTGTCTTTACGATCCCAGTTAAACAACAAAGTAACGTATCATCGTTATATTTTATGAATTATGAAATAACCCCGATAATCAAGGATAAAAAAAAAAAAAACTAACCATGATATAAGCTGAAGAATTTAGTACAAGATCAAAGATTTCGTATTCATATAACGATAACGATAAACCTATCGCTATGCACCGATGGGAGCTGTGCTACCATCAAATTCACATATATATAAAAAGTAAGCTTCGGGTGTTTACCTTGATTCTATATCGTGTTTTAAGTCAAAATGGTAAGAACTTAAGAAAAAGGTTATAAAAACCTTTACTTTGTAATAACATATTTATTTTAAAAGGCAAAACAATCCGACAAAAAAATTGCCCAAGAAAACCTCAAGTGTCTTAACAATCTTAAATGGGGGTTCATCATCGTGAATGTAAGTAAATTTACAATAGCAATAATATCGATATAACTGCGAAATCTAAAAACTTATTTTACTTTGGTTTTTTTTTTTTTTTTAATTATGCAGGCGATTTATGTTTGTTTCAGAATTCTATATCATTACAAAACATTCACATTTCTGATCGCTGTGTCATACTTTACTACTTTGGGCATTAGTATGTTTATATGGACACGAATCATATCACACGGATCGCCGAGGTTTGGGCCTAGTGGAAATGTTGAATGGCCAGGCAATGATTTAAATTCCAAAGGGTTGATCGAGTAAGAATTTCTTTTTAATATAATTATTATCCAATGGGTGTATCGTAACTTTGTCAATTTGGATTAATTACATATAGATACATGTTCGATATCATTTATGTAACGTGGGCTGTTCACATTGTGAGCATATTCTTTGAATGGGTTTGGTGGTTCTACTTGTCGGTGAGTCATAAACTTCAAATGAATTTATTTTTTTTTTTTTTTTACTGATCTCAAATTTTTATCAAAAGATACCATTATTTGCGTTGTATAAGATCTGGACGCTTTTCATACAACCGACTATGTTTTCAAGTGATGAAGGAGCCATTCCACAGGAAAAAAGCAAACGTCAAAAAAAAATTGAAAAACGGCAGTCAAGACGATAATTTCCAATATAAAAAAAAATGAACAACATAGCCTTATACAAATCTGAGATTATCATTCTTTTATTACAAAAAATAAATGAATTAGTCATCATTACATATTTACTAATATTTTTGCCAGTGATACTATATCATTTCTATTTGTAAGGATGATGTTTTTTATTTTTAACATCTATGTTTCTTTCCTTCCACGTACTTTTTCGTAATTTTATTGGTCTATTACCCACATATTTTCCTGTTATCGAGAGACAGTGATTAGTCTTCAGCATCCACAAAAAGCAAAGCTTACGATAACAAAAAAAAAATCATATGGCTTACCGTTCATTTCTTTCCAAGCTTTGACAAATTCATCCGCATCCTTAAAACTTACAAATCCATATCCCTTACTTTTATTAGTACGTTTATCCCGGATAACCTTGGCTTTTTGTATAGATGGATATTTGCTAAATGCTTTATACAAGATATCGTCCGTGACTTCATTGCCGAGATCACCACAAAATAAGCGAAAGTCATCTGTAATAAAACTTGATTTAGTGCACAGTAATATATTTTTGAAGAAAAATAAAACAAATTGTAAATAAATATCATACTAATGTCCCATTCTAGTAATGTTGGATCTTCCCAAATTTCACCTCCTGCTGCTCTAATAATTGTCTTTGGTTTCTTTTTTGAAGTAGATTGCTTATTAATTCCGCTTTGCATGTCAAGATGCCCGCTTACAATGTCGTCCTTTGGTTGATGGATACCAGAACTAATTCCTCTCTCTTGATGAATAATTCCAGTTTTGCTTGAATTTGAAGACATGGAGACAGTGTTTACAATGGCTGGAGGTGCTTCAACCACAGCCGCTGTAGATGCTTTCGGTGTGGACGATGCTCCTGTTGTGGGATAATAATAATTACTACTACCGTATGTAGAGTAATCATAGCCATCGTAAACGTTAGTATTTGTGCTGCTTTGATATGGAACATTAGAAGAATATGCTGAATAGTCGTATCCATAATATGATTGGGATAGATCGCCAGTAGACGAAGCCGCTGTGTTAGTTGTGGAGACATAACTTGGATCATAGGTATATGGTGTGTGAGAATGGTTTTGGCCTGACATAATTTCTATAACGATGTTTATAATGTTTCTGTGTTCTTCATAAACGCTCCTACTGTAACTTATATGTCTGTTTTCATTGGTCCGAAAAAAATTTTAAAATCAGGTGTATTCATTTTCATTGGCTGATCGATTTAATTTTCATCGTTACACCAAAAATGGACATCGATTCTGGAATGTTCTATAGGAATCTTGAGCGATGGTTACAAAAATTATATTAACGAAAGTAAGGAACCTATCAATCGATAATCAATTAGACTATAAAACGTTAAGATATTTTTAACAAACTGTAGGATACGTCAGTATTTCAAAGTTATACGTATACTGTAATTTTTATATCTTGCATAGGCTATATTTTTTTCTTGTTCTTTTTTTATCAAATCTTAGATTATAGTATAAGACTAGATTAGATTAGGTTGGTCAGAACTATTCGATAAATCAGAGACCCAAATTTTTAGAATAGGCATTATACGTACATAGTATATAGAAAAGTTTGGCAAAATTTGTCGAATAATGGGGGATCGCTAAAGCCTTGTACCTACGTGACTTTCGAAGTTTTAATTGTAATTAGGGTTAGGGTTAGTTTTATTGATAGGGTAAGGGCAGGCATATAGGTAAAATTTCCTTCCCGACATTTTTTATTAATGTACCAAGACAGGTTTAGACTGCCGTTTTTCATATTTTTTCGTTTTTTTTGATTTTTTGATTTCTTCGGGCTGATCCGTGTAAACAAAATATCATGATTTTGATTGGTGATTTACATAGAAAAGGTCACGTGGGTACAAGGCTTTAGCGAACCCCCGAATAATGGTAATCTGGCAAACCGGGGCAAATGAACATGTGCCGCGAAAACGGCACGTGTACCAATCATTTGCCGGTTATTGTATTCAACAAATTGCCCAATATTGGCGTTATCCAGCAATTTAAGGTTTAATTTGATTACATCGTATCACGTGAAAAATAACAAGACAGATGGCAATTCATGATCATAAGAGTTTGCCAGATAACGGCATTTTCTATTTATCGGATTTTGCATTTACCAACTGTTATCCGGCATTTGAAATTTTACGTATCATTTTTATGCACGTGAAAAATATATCCGGACAACGTGCGTAACTCACGTACATAAAAATTTAACCCGGTCAACAGTTCAGCAGAGACAGTGCCCCCTATGTAGATCTTTGTTTAACGTTACACAACTCATAAAATTTTTTTTTTTATATAATTTTAAAGTACTTTTAACATCTTGTATTACTCGATTGCGCTAATAGCTAAGTGCCAATAAGTTACTAAGAAAATTTGAAGCTTTCATATTGTAGAAAATAATATTCGTTGAATCCCTTTGAATCCCAAAGCGTTAGTTTTTTATTCAAGATGACAAATGCCAAAAAATGCTTTGAATGTAAGGAGACTGATTCGAAGAAATTTCGTCAGTTAGGTGACGAAAAGTGGCAAGAAATTCAGCTTAAAGGTTTGGTAAAAGAAAACTGGACTAAAAACACAGTGTTTTGTAACCCTTGTTACATAAAATATATGGCAAATCCTCTTAGAAGAAAAAAAAGCTTTACTAATAAAGAAATAGAAACAATTGAGATAGGCGTTACGGAAGAGGAAACAGAAGAAATGAACGTACTAAGTGATAATTTTGAGCTCATTGATGCTATAAGGTCTATGGCCAAAATTCTTTATAACAGAGAAGCCAAAAAAAAGCAAAAGCCGATTTATAATTTTGATGAATTACGGGGGTTACTTGAAGAGCAAGATTCTAATTTAAATTACTTTTTTAATCAATTATATTTAGCAGCACGCCTGTCAAAACGTACTAGCCAAACTATAGAGCATATGAAAAAAATTATGGTGTTTATTTGTTATCATCTTGCTTCATTAAATAATACCCAAATTAATGCTTTCAAATCAGATCTTGCATTTTATTTAGATTCGGCGGGAACAAGTAATGAAGGTCTAAATACAATGGCAAATATTGGTATATTAACAATGGCTAGGACGGTAAATCGCAAAATGAAGAAGATATCTAAAACACATAATGAATATGTAAAAGATAATCTTATAGAGTATTTAAACAATGCTCTTGTAATTAATATCGACGATTACTATAATATTCATGTCCCATATAAGCCTCATACTACGAATACATCTTCACCAACTCATATGGCAACAATATTAGCAAATCTGTGCTTAACGTTAGCTATACTGCGTAATCAGGTGCTAAATCCTAAAGTTGTCGATGAGGAATTAATCGCAAAACATATAGATAAGCGTTTCATTATAAATCTTGGTGTTCCTTATCATTATATAAAAAATTGTGTAAAAAAAGAATATTCTGATATCGAATTATTGGAGAAATTTACTTTACATAGTTATGACGATAGGTTAACGGAAAAGAAAAGTGAACGGCATATTAAAAACTGTATCCTTTTTGATTTTACTGAATGCAGTTTAAAAGGAATTGATGAGTATTTGGATTCTCTTCAAACTATTTATAAACAGGAGCCAATGCAGGAATATCTTTCCAAGTTCGTGGTTCCTATCATTGCGGACTGGCCTGGGCAATTTTATATTCGTAAGGCCATAGCGCAAAAAGTTCTTTTAAATAATCAAGATATTCTTGAATTCATTACGGCGTTCTTACCTATGATGGGCCCTCTTCATGTATCATTAAATGCCCGCGAACTTGTTTTTAAAAAAAACTTCTTTTTGTTTAATGATATTTACAAAAAAGTTTTTGGAAATCATAAGGATCTCGGTAAGAAACTATGGCCATAGAGAATTAATTTAATTCTCTATATTATATATTTGGCGTAGTTTGAAGTAGCCAATTTTGTTTATTCAAAATTCAGCTTTATATATAAAAATAGAGTTTTTTTATTTAACTAACCTTTTTAGTAATTTAATTCTATTAGTTTTGGACGTTTATGCAATACATCATTGAGAAAGTAACTAGCTAGCTTACGAGAAGGCTAGCATGCGTTATTGGAGCGATCTTTTTTTACAATTTGATCGAAAAAATTACAAGCATGCACTATTGATGTTCTTTTCGGATATTTTTTATTGGATAGAAACCAACTATCCAATAGTTGACATTATTATTAATCATCTTCCTTCTTTAAATGATTGTCCTGTGGAATTATTTCATAGTATTATTAGGCGGCGTACCTCTAAATTTTTGATAGGAGAACAATTACAAAGTGCAGCACATAATATTTATCAACAATACCGTAATAATAATTTTCATCAACAATTTGTACGATCGGAAAAGTATCCTTATTTGCCAAAACAATTGTGGATACTTTCCCAAAAATGCACCATATATCTTTTAGAGATGTTTACTAAATTATACTATTCGTATAACAAAATTTCTTTTATTATTCATTCTTCTGATGATATTAACACATATAAATTATCATCATTAGGTTACAAAATAACAGATCGCTACCTTCTAAGAGGTTTCGTTATATTAAGAAAACCTAATATTTCAGCCTTATGCGATTCGATTTATTGCAATGCCTTTTACGATTCAGTTAATGGCTGTGTTCTTGCATGTAGATATGGTTACCATAGTTATTGCTTACAGAATCAGCAATTCAAATGTTTAATCTGTTTGAATTATTTACAAAAGGAAGTTAGAAAAAATGCTGATGCTTTACTAAAAAATTTAATAAAAACTTTAGCCGAAAACTTACCCAAAGAAGACATTGAGGAAAATAAGGATGACGAAGATTCGGATGAAATTCAAGAAATATCTGACGATATGACAGTTGAGCGCCAATTGAAACAAGCGAAAAAATCATTTTTTGAAATGTAAAAAAAAAATATATATAAAAAAAATAAATAAATAAGTCAATAAAAAATAAAGTTGTAAAAAAAAAAATTAGTAAATTATATTGCTTATTCGGGATCTTAGTTTCGCTATTTTAAAATTTAATATGAGAACGATTTGATATTGTAATATAAATTGTAGTCTAAAAATTGATCTACATTTATTGCTATTTACAGAAATTGTTGACTCAGGATAACCAATCATTTTAACTGTCTCTGCTAAAGGTCAACAGTTGGTATGCAAATCCAATAAATTTAAATGCTGAATAATCCAGTTATTCAAATACGAAGTACTCATAAGGCCATTCCAATTTGATTCTATGTTTAACATAACATTAATAAAATGAAAACAGGATGGAGGTAAAAAAACACGAGATTTTGATTGGCTAAAAAATTTTTTTTTTGAACAGTTAATATGATTTTTATATTAAATGGTGTTAATTACCCCCTATATCTGTGGCTCAAAGAGAGGGTGTGGCCTTACAAAAATTGGCCTATATGATACATATGTATTATACGTAGTATTTATTATGTATATTTTTTTTATTGTATACAGTCGTCCTCCCCTATAGTCACACGCTTGGGTATGACCAGGGCTTAAACGACTATATTAATTTGCCGACCATTTACTGCGCCACTGTTATTGTTTAAAGTGTTTTTTTTTGATTCATCAAAATTAGTGTAATGTATATCTTAATTTGTTTACTATACCAGCCAATTATATTATAGATCAAGAATGATATTTTTGAATGGGCGGCATTTCAATATAGTTGTTTAAGCCCTGGGTATGACCAACTAGATAATTATAAAGAAGTGTGACTTAATAAAAGTTACTTCTATATAAGCACATCTTATATTAAAAATAATTAATATGATTTAATAAAGGGAAATTAAAGGGACTCTTTCCCATACATCACTAAAATTAAGTAAACAAAAAAGTAAAAATCGAAAAAACCATAGAGCATAATTAAATAACTATAAGATAC